CTTGTCGTTGTAACCATTTGGGGGTTTTACGTGGGTGGTGCTTTTGCTGTGATGTGTATTATATGAACTGTTTTCCCAATAAAAGGGGTCATTTTGTGGCAGATAACAATGAGGCCTCCCTTGAAAGTAAATCGATCGATCGCTGACTGTCTTGTTTTCTTCATGATGAATAAGTCTCTAAACCAGCGGGGCTTGTGGAAACACAGACCCAACAAACACATATACCTGATTTAAGTTAAATTTGGTAAGGTAGGAGTGAGACAGACTGAATTTTTTTCTCTGTACAACTCCCTAATGGGAACAGCTGTTCGTAACTGAGCTGATTGGTAATATTCACAATACAATTTCTCAAATTTCTTTCAAGCAAACCCTGAGGTTGCATTGCATCTTATTCATGAAAAGTTTAAACTGACCCATATATATATATATATTTTTTTTTAGAAATACCTATAGTTCATTAATTCTCAATTAGCCCCTTATCCTTCACTGAAGTAGTCTCTTGTCATATTCATGTCTTGAGCTTGTTATACCTCTTCTTTGGACAGTGGTCTGAACCGCGCCTGGTAGTGGCTCAGCTCCACATTCAGACGGTGAACTGTCAGTTTGAGGGCATCGTTTTCATCAACCAGCTCCTGAGCATGTTGCCTCAAATTCTGCAGCTCTGCTTGGCTGCCTGCAAACAAAGCATATCAGGTTACAAATAATTTTCCAGATTAATAAGTAGTTTTAAGCCAGTTTCCACATGCCAAAGCATTGAACTAAAGCAAAAAATGTGAAATGTGAGGGCTTGTGATTTTTACAAAATCAGGACAATAGTTTGCATCTTTCAGGAGTGTGCAACTATGCAACACTACAATGCAACACAGCCCATTCAGGTCATTCCTCAACATGGGTTTTGACTCTACAGTACATGTGGTCTGCCTAAAGATCAGCAAAGTGCTTTCATGTTTCTTTTCATTACTCCCTCTTCTTCTCTTCATGCTGAGGACATGCTGTGGAGTCCAACGATCAGTTCCATTTCTACCCTTAGCACTATCTCCAGCTCCCTCTTTTGACACTTGTAAATTCCTCCATCCGCTGTAACTCTCTGCTTACTTTTCCTTTCTGCCTCATTTGCATCTGTTTTACTTCCACTGTTACTTCTATATACTTTCCCTACTTCCCTTCATTCAATTTCTCCACATTGTTCCTCTGTACAGTATCTCTCCAGCGGTTCCTCTACTCTACCTGCAGAGGACCTCTGGTTTGAGAAGGCTTTGCTGTCACTAATCTCCCGTTCCAGGCGCTGCAGTCTCTCCTCTAGTAGCTTTTCTTTGTCTACCATCCTTGTGTTCTTTTCCCGACGGTCCCTCACTACCTTCTTCCGCAGTTCACTGTATGTATTGCTGGGTTCTGGAGGAAGCTCACGGAGGTCTTTGGGGCTTTTGGCTTGGCTTGCTTGCCTGGGGTGACCAGCAGTGAAAATGGTCGGTGTTGCTGAAACAGGCAACAAAAATACTTTTCAAAAATAGAATAAAATGTATAAATGAACAGAAAGTATGTACTGTATTGAAAATACAAATTTAGTGCTGCTTTTTGTTACAGCAGAGATAGAAAACATGGACACAAACAGAAAAAAATCCTAAAACTGTAACATAACTATATGAGTTATGTTACTATCATTTATCTAGTAACATATCTAGGCATCTAGGCAGCAGGCAGCCTGCTATAACCATTTCAAAATACATTTCTCATTTGAGGTGGGAACTCTTGTTACATGAATAAAAAAACAACAAAACATCAATGTCATGGAGAGAATGATGCAGAGAAGAAATAGTACTTTTACATGGCATGTTGCATTTCACATCAAGTTCTGCTAAAGCCATTTATCAGAACACAATGTGCACTGATGACCACAAATATCATTATAGAACATTATCTACAATACTATGTTAAATATACATACATAAAATGCATGCAACTTAAAATATTTCATTGTTAACATGTTTATTTCACCTGACCAATTGAATGGTTTGTTTTTACTCTGATATTTTTTTTTACAGTTAATATTAACATTAACATGTTAACTTACAGATATTGGAATGCCTTCACCCTTTATTGGGTAGATTACAGGACATGAAGAGAAAGGCAAACAGTGGGGTGACCCTTTAATGCTTAATATACATACATTTATTAATTTTTAAATTAAAAATCTATATGTAAAAATGCCAAGCAGACACACACAGGCTACTTTAGTATTTACACCTACTTGGAACATCATCTTTCCAATTTTCAAGAGTCTTCCTCACAGACATTTTCTTCTCTTTGGGTTCTGGGGATTGGCCACTGGTCTCCTCAGTGAAATCTGTGTGATGTGAACAAATTCATTGAATGAATTCAAAACCGAGAGGAGCGCTGATTTCTAAGGGTTTTATTATAGTAAAATCCCTTTTTACCACAATCAGCCAATGGTTATGTAAAAATGTAATTTCTGCAAAGCCTGAAAGTGTTACCTTGCGAATCAGACAGATATTATGTCTGCACTTTAGTTATTAAGGTAGGAGCATTTTAGGAACAGACAGAACATTTTAATTTACCACCACCAAAAGCCTGAGGGTAGCACTGCTAATAACAATTCTAACGAGGCTTTCCATTTAGCTCTAATGATATGAGGTTACCTTATGGCTGTTATGAAACTAAATGTCAGTTGAATAAGAGCTGTACTTTTCTAACATAGAGTCAAGAGTGTGGTGTACCGGTAATTTGGCTATGTGATGGAGAAGATTTTAATATCAGGTTGCATGGCTTTAATTGTTTTACTAGTGCTTTTCATAGAAAAGACTCCAAAAGCCAATAGTCTTGAATTTCTATTACACGTTGTTTTGGAAGAGCACCAACAATACACAAAAGCAATAACAGAACTTTATGTTTAGTTACATGTTGTTGGAGAGATTTTCAGATTTGCTGTTCATAATTAGAGTCATTCCAATTACTGGATAGACCTATTACTGTCAATGTTACCACCTGTCTTTCACATCAGTGATCACAACCAGCTGTTTTATATCAGCTAAAATGTTTGAAATTTGTGGGCATGTGCGTTTGCTATTTGCTACCTATATACAAAAATCTGTTTATAAAAATACACACAGTTTTATTTTCAAGCATTTATACTGTGTTGGATGTGTGAAAATGTACTAGAAGAAAGCTAACTGGAAATCAGTGCTGATTTCTGATCTTTTTCAGTGGGCTCTACAATATACAGGCCATATTTTAAATACAGAGGTCAATTTTTACCACAGATCAATTCTTTCATGAGCATTGTCCTTCGTATTATCATTATCATTATTACTACTACTACGATGTTCTTCTCCTTATGAAATATGTTAACCCATCTGTCATTATTGTAAAATCAGTACCTGGTGAAGACTCTCTTCTGCCAGAAGTCTGAGTTGGCAGGGGTGTAGAGGACTTGAAGACAGACTGTCAAAATAAATAAAGAGGGAGTCAGTATAGTAAGTCTTTTCAAACAAATATATAAATCCCTGCAGCCTGGAGCAGTTTATTTATGGTCTTTGCCAAAACGTATCCGATAATATCTTATCAGTGTATTTATTAAATTGTACAGTTTGAAAGAGCCTACAAAACAACATGAATGAATTACATTTGTCAGTTCAGTGTAGAGAAGACATATAGCTGAAACAGAATTATGAGGAAAAATTGGAAGACAATTTATTTTTAACACCTCAACTATGATAAAAATTCAATAAATTCCACAATTGTTGATGGAAAAAAATATACTGCATTTCTATATTTAGAAACAAGCACAATGTCCTCACAGTGACCTTTACTCTCACCCTGAGTCATAAAAAAAGCAGAAAGTGAAGACCATCCGGTAGATTTATGTGGGTTCGGGCTGATGTTTTTTTGGACCTAGTTTGTGTAAAACTACTATATCATATGAGTCACCATACTAGGTCTGTTGGCCTTAGATTATGACACAATAGATCCATGATGTCCTATATCACTTTGACTTGTGGCTGTCATAACTGAGAGATTCAGACACTGCCATAGCCTGGAAAGATAGTTGACAGGGAGAGACCATTGGGACCTTTACAGGTTAGCTATCCAAGTAGAAGAACAACAACATAATATAACATTTTCTCAGGGATCTATAAAAGGAGACATTTGGCATAGTGCCACGGACCGAATTAAGAAGAGAACTCACAAGGCAATTTTACAGATAAACTGTACACTACAGAATAGAATTAACTGTGTGCAGATAAAGCAAGACTGTGAAAAACTTCCCATTACTAATGTACTGTGATCAGTGACTACCATAAATCACAATAACAGCTTTTTAAGGCAATTTTCAGGCAATTTGCAGAAGTGCAAGAACTCACCACCTGGATTGTAAGAGCACCACAGACAAACACGGTAACATTTTGTAGTGGAGAAAAAAGGGGGGATTCAGGATTTAACCATGTAGATACATAAATTAAATGCCAAATGTACAACAGAGAAAACTGTTTGATAGAAGGAAACAAAACAAAAAAACCACCAACATTTACTAAGAAAAACTGAAAGGATATCTGCAGATGCTATAAGCCAAGTCCGTATATATGGCTACTGAGCTGAATCACAGCTGATAGTTTTAGTGACAACCATAGCACAGCATTAAAAAGAAACAAAGTATCGATTCTGAGTACAACTGTGCCTCCTACTGGATCAGACTGGGATTACAATACCAAAATACCACAGACTCAAGGAAAACCTATTTAGGAGTAGTAACACTCATTAAATACATGCCAACACTCCAACCTCCCATTAAATAAACCTCATGGGCTGACCCTTTAGATGCACAAAATAATAAGCAATTACCAGTCAACTGTTACATGGTGACCAGCCAAGACTGAAAATTGCTGTCATAATTGGCATCATGTTGGAGATTTATAAATGTCTCAGTGAGAATGACTGTAGTGATCCTGAAGGTGAACTAAATGGAGTTTAAAGTGAGGTTTTGGATACATTTTGAAGATTGTTTAAATGTGTTTTGACAACACTTAATGTTGAAATATTTAAACATTTCGAAATTACAGAGCTGGGAAAATTGGGCAAAATTTGCATGTAAAAAATAAATAAATAAATAAATCCAATCTAAGAACTCTTATTCAGCTGTTACAGATTAAGACAGACGTCAGATAACTGATGAATAAACATATCGAAATAATTATTGTAATATATGTAGAGATATCGGCTGGATTTTAGTTTGATCATCTTTAGAAAAATATGAATGAGTAATCAACAAAATAACCAAAATAATAAATAAAAATAAAGCTTACTTATTTCTTTCATCACTCACCATTTAAAGATAAATGTCATATTTTGCATTGGCACACATATTCATGACTACTCTGCGTTAAAATGGAGGCTCTGCTCTATTTAACCTGTTGCCATAGTGAATCACGACATCTGATGATGGCTTTTTTTTTATTACACAGACATATTTAGCTCTGCAAATATTCTCAGCGGTGGCTGAACTTATTCTGATTAGATGCTCTGGAACCGAGAAGTTTCCCATTTTAGGATGAATCAAGATTAAAGTTATTCTGAGAGTTCTTGTCTTCTGGAAGAGACACCTGGAACTGCCTCACCTAAATGTAACACATGCCACTATTAGGGTTACACCTAATAAATACACAGTCACCCATTTAGCCTCTAGTCTTATAACCACTAATCACCTCTTACAGGTATTTTATGCGATCTGTATTAGAAGCATGGAACAATCTACTGAGAAACCTTCATGCACATAATACAAGCTCTTTCTGCAGCTCCTCACCTTAGTTTTTAGTGGCAGAGCATAGACAGATTCGGTGAGTGAAGAATTCTGCCTTCGGTCCAGAGTGTGGTAGACATGTTCCTCCCCATCCTCTTCATCCACCACTTCCTGTTCCTTGTCTTCCAACTCCCCCTCTGACTGGTCAGGAGAGGACAGACGTGGCCGGCTAACCAAATCTTCTGACCATCTGTCTCTGAGGAAGTTAAGCATGTAAGATAACAGCAGAAGACAATTAGATGTATCTTAGTAGAGGCACAAACTAATACAGCCACTTTTATGAACAGTTTTTTTCTCTTAAAACTCCTGCCAGAGAAAATGAATTTTATTTTTCTGACACACTGGTGATGACACAAATCTTGACATAATACTGTTGCCTTTCCTATATGATGGCTACCTTGTGTAAAGTGCTGTGCTGATGTTTGGCTCAGATGTGAAGGATTCTGATTGACCACTCTCGGATAAAGACATCAGCCGGGCAGGAGGTATGGCCCATGTCTGTCCAGTGAGTGAGGATGATAAAATGGCTGCTGCTAAAGCTGACCTGTAGATAGAAACACATACTTTATGAGACACTATGTGTAACAGAAAAGTAAATGAAATGCATGGAAAGCATCGCATGCAAATTTGAAGTCACTCTACAATTTTTGACTTTATTTATCGAGTTTGGATGATGACAATTATCAATAAATGCATCATTTATGACAACAACAACGGCACAAGCAGAGCAGATCATTAACCAAAGCCAGTGCTCTAGTTTTCAATTTAATTAAAAAGACTTGGACCTGCACTAAAATTTAATGTTTTTTTCTTTACACATGATCTATCGCTACACAAAGTCTCATGATATTTTGCTTGTTAACGTTCTTTGTAATAACCGGTAGAAAAACAAATGAAGCCCAGCTTGCGGAAGGACAGAACATAACCTCAAATACGGTGGAAATAATCAACATTTCGATAGCCTCTAACAAGCTCATAGCAAACATGAAATTGTGGATTAAATGACAGTTTAGTAGAAACATGAAACATGAAAGGCTGTTGGAGGTTATGGGCGATAAACAGAAAGTGTTAGGTACCTGGGTCTCTCAGGTGAAGGGTTTGGGCTGCGAGGGGGAGGGGTACGAGGTACGGCTGGTTTGGGAGCAATGGAGGCAGCAGGGATCAAACCATGAGCTATATGCTTCTACGCAACACACAGAGAAGAGTTAGAGGGACATACAGACACAACGCTTCAGGAGGGTTTATATAAGATGGCACAAAATTGAGGGGGGGGACAAACAAAAACAAAACAACACAGATGTTGTGCAGGGTGAACAGCAGGGGAAGGGTAAAGGGATTTATTACAGAATCACAGTATGACCACCTGACGACCAGTGATGAGCGTAATGAAGGCACAACAGCACCAATATTTATCCTCAAATTTTACTAAGTAATGCTAGAGCAATCGCTAGTGCACAAAAAACCCTCAATTCACCATTTATACAAACTCTAGCTTAAAAAATAAGCAATACCACCAATTAAATACTCATTACCAAGAGTTAGAGGCAGTATTTTTTAAAAACAAAGAACTCATACTATTATTGATTAACCATAAGTAAAGCCTTAAAAAACACAAAAATAATAAGACAAACTACAAAAGGTTAATATCTATCATAAAAGAATGGAAACTTACAAACTCCTTGTCTTTCTCCCTCCTAAAGCTAAATCTTAACATACTGGAAATACGTTTTACAGTTGCCGTCTACTATATAGGTTAATGTTATTTAATGCTTTTGCAAAGTATTCTTTCAATAAAACAGTTTTACAATTAAATCAGAAATTATAATTCGCCGAGAAAGGAAAATGCGTAAGCTAACTAAATTCAACAAGGATGGCTGCTTGCAGTTTCCTTGTATCTAGACGCTTCACAACAAGAAGGAACCGTGCTCCAAACGTAACGCTGATTGGCTAAGTTTGAAGGCAAAAGCCAATCAGAGACTGCTTTGATCCACCTAGCAACGACTTGCTTACCAACTCGCAGCCTGGCCAACAGGGGACGATGTTGGCCCATTTAAATAACACCGTTTGTCCCCGAAAAAACTTTTCTTTTTCTTCTTTCACTGCTGGTGACTTTTAATTTGAAGAACAGGGCTTTTTTCCAAGTAGGGATAAGTAAATAAAACGTCATTCTCCCACCTGTATTAGCCGCCTATCTGAAGGCCTGCTGTGTTTGCTCTGTCTAAATTCCCAAACTATTTATCTACTATATTATAACAGTGGCTACGTTTATAGGTATCCCAATTGCAATCTTTACAGTTCCTCACCAATAGGAAATACGTCAAACTATAAAATCCACCCAATCAACACAAAACCAAATACAGAAGACAACCATAAAGCCATTAAATAACTGAGACGTTCCTCAATAAAATACAGCTATGTGTGAGTCAGATCTTTAGCCTGTTTTTTGTCATTTGAAGCATAAAGGAACAGCTTTAGAAAAGCATTGTATAAGTATAATTTTAACCTTTTTATTACTTTCCAACATGAAAAACAGAGTTATTGTAATAAATGGGGAAAAAGTGTAATCTTTGTTTTGTTCTGCTTCTTAGTTTAAAAAAAGCAAACAAAACAACTTTGCCTTAGGAAATGTAGACAAATAGTGACTAAAGTCAACACATTGGTTCCTGCAATATCTACTTTTCTGATTAACATAAAGCTGGAGAGAATTTTATCTTTCCAGGGCTATGTTGGAACTAAAATCACAGAGATGAAGAAAATCTGTGAATAAAATTTAACCACATGGTATTTCTTTTCAGTTTCTGTGGATTAGGATGTCATATGATCCTGGGCTAGACGTTCAATAGTTAAAAGCACGAGTCTTGACTTGGCTTGTATGTGGTCAAGACTCATTCCACGCATTCCCGACCTGATTGGTAACTGGAACCACAGACAGAATTAAAGAATTTTATCTTCCCATGTGTTTTATTCCTTTTTATTGTCATTTGAACTCATACAAAGACTTATCAACACAGAGCTATGCAGGACCAAGCACAGAAAGGAACAAAGGCAACCTGAAAGCTTTAGAAAAACCAGGTACCATAAACCTCTGCAGATACACTAAGGCATTTAGAATTATTAGGCACTGTAACATGAACACAAATATGTAAAAAAGATGATCCTCTGCATCTGTTAGTACACTTAACAAAATATGAAGCATTCACTGCACAGACTTGTTACACACTCGGTGAGGCATTTTCCTTCATGATTTAGCATAAATGGCACTTAAAAGAAAGTAACAGGTAAACAGTAAAGAATGTTACGTCTTCTCAGTGAAACTGCTTAAAAACATTTAGAATTTAAAACATTGAAATGCAGCAATATATAAGTTCGCTAATGGATTAAGCAAGGCTAGTAAAATACATTCATTCAAGAAACAAACCAAGGACTCTCGCGTGCAAAACAACATTCACAACTTGACCATTCACAAAGTAGCTCTACAACCTACAGCTTACAGGTAAATATATATTTGTGTTTTTTATTACATAAATAATTTGATTATCAAATGTGTATAAGAATCTACTTTGTAGATAAAGAGAAAGTCCAACACGGCAAAGTGTCAGTAAAATAGGGACTGTGACTAAGATAAAGACAGGTAGATAAAGAGTAGAAACCCAAATGTGGGATTTGATCAGAGTCACTGTAGGGTGACTGGCTGTCCAAGTGATGCAGGAAAGTCATCAGTCTGCCCACATTCTTCCCTTCTACAGACATAATAAACTTTAACTACATCAAAATTCACATCAATAAAACACAGGTCATGCTCTTCTTAGGGAAGCGGGTAGGATGAATCACAAGGGTAAATGATACATCCTTGTATTTCTGGAACTTGGAGGCATATTGGTCTGTGGCATAACTGGTACATTAAGCAAATTTAAAATACCAATATTTGTGCATTTAAAACTGTGTCCCAGGAACGGCACTCAGCAGAAACAACAGTCCTCAAAGACTGTCTCACAAATACAAATGACAGTAATACATAGCCATGGTACACATGATTTTTTTTTTTTAGCAGCTTATAGAATATTGCATTCATCACACCCCTCTTCCCAGACATAAAAAAAACCTCCACTATACAATTAGCATTCCCTCAATCACTGTTTAACATACTGCAACATAGTTTATTAAATTTACATCCATAAAATCCATGAATTTTAAATCCCGAAACTGATCAGCAGCCACTGATTTCTACAAAACTGTGGCAATGAGAGGATTCCTTCCCACATACAGTATGCACAGCTATGCTCACTGTGTACAGCTCTGTACACAATGGCACTAACAAGGGAGTGCTTAACCCACAATCAAATCACTGCCTTTCAGTCAAGCAGAAACTGGGGCTGGGTGTGTTTGCACCACTTTGTTTTCTTCTTCGATTCGTCTGGAGCATGTTTTTCAGAAAAAACAAAAACAAAACACTGAAATCGCAGCTTAACTAAGAAGCCAGTCTCAGTGATCTGTGCGTGTGTGTGTGTGTGTATACGTTTTAGTTTTTCCGACAGTGCAGTTTTACTGTGCTGTACATATACTGGAATGGCACTAAATGCTTTTTTATTGTGTCTGACGTACAGTGCAACTTGCATCAGATACAGAACTGTGCTGGGAAAGCACCCACATACCATCACGTCCACCAATATACAGTATTTGGCACAGCCACTTTCCAAAGCAACATACTACATACACTGCTGCTTAGTATTCCAGTGGAAACACCAAAGGTCACTGATAGTACACAAAACAGGTCCAGTATAGGTACAGCACAGTACTGTATACTGGGCTCAATATGCGTACTGCAGACAGTAACAGCTGCAGTTAGCTCAGTAGAGGCCACTGTCATTGTTGTAGGAGCTGGAGCTGGGGAAGGTGGGACAAGGTTTATTCCAGGGCAGAGCGCCGGCCTTGTCTGCTGTGGGAAGGCTGAGGGTGCTGGCACTCTTCATCTTGTTCTTTAAACCCCAGCTGAGGAATGATGACTTCTTGGCTACTTTGCGAGACTTGGAGTTCTTGTCATCTTCATTATAGGCCAGACAAATCATGGAGTAGGTCTTAGGCAAGTTTCCACAGAAGGTTGCACTCTTGGTAGGCTATGGTACAGACAATGAAAATGACATTTAGTTAAAAAAAAAAAAAAAAGTGTCAGTCAGGATTTTGCAGAGTTTTTTTTTTTTACACTGCATACCAAACAGTCCTAATTATTTCATCAGTCAATGAGTTATTGATCAGTTGTTAATATCCGAAATCATGAAAAAAAACTATTATTGCGAATAGTTATGAGGGGTTGCAAAACAAGTACAGAATAAATACATAACCTAATGAAGTTTACCACCTTTTAAATACTTGTAGAAGTGCATTACTTTTTAACATACTTTCATATAGTTTCTTAATTTCACTGAGGCACTGTTTCTTTCCAAATCTCAATGATTTTAGCTCTTTGTCCACATGTTTAGGCTACTTGGCTGGTGAACTCACACAGCAGTAATTTGTTTTAAACACACACGTAGGTCATAGTCAAGGTCCTGTTTCTCATGGGAAATGATATAAACCATTTACACTGATACCTCCAAGGAGAAATCTAAAACTCTGGACTGAGCAATCACTTTGCACAAAGACCAATTCTGCCATCACCATTTGTTAATCAAACAAACCTGCTGATAACCTTTCCCTAAACACATTGGACAAAACGAGGGCCTTGCATACCATGGCAGTGCTGTTGTCCATCATGCTGACCACCTGGATATCAATCCCCTCCTCATCCATGTCCTTCAGAAGTCGCATCATGTCACTCACGCTCATCCACTTGCACTCTGTGTCACCCACAGCAACAATGTAGTCACCTTCTTTGAGGCCATCAGCCTGGGAAAAAACATGACAAAGAAAATTGAGTTACAGGGTGAAATGTCCTGATATTGTAGAAGAGTAAACATTTACAAGTCATGTTGAACTACTTTCCTTCGACTCCCTTGAGGCAGCTACAATCAGCCGAAAAACAACTGAAGTTTAGTCTAAAGTGGGGGTTATTTGGGGGGGTGGGGTTTTTACGCCTTGTTTTTTTCAGAAGGCATAACTCATCATTAGCGTGCTGCAGAGCACTCCACTAACATGATTTCACATGTGTCTACCTTATAATGTGATCCATGTCCACCTAAGATAGGTCAAACACTAATGACCCAGCAAGTTCTAAATAAAAATCCTATTTAATGCAGTATTTAAAGTTATGAATAGTCTGACCTAGTTATCTTATGCAAGACTACTAATCTGTTTCTCTACATAGCTTGCAGGGCCTAATAAAAGTCTGCTCTTTGTCAGCACCTCTTAATGAGCTGTCAGACTGCTGGCTTGTAGAGAGTAAATACTCCCTGATTCTTAATTAAATTAGTAGTCAGAGTAGCTGACAAACAGGAGGAGGGGAAGGCCTCCAAACATTCTTTGAGGCTGAAATCCTGTTTAGGCTTCCAAGAGTGACTTTATTTAATCAAAGGCTCATTGAGTAGATAAGATCGAAACGTATTTGATATTCTGCATGGAAGCACAACTGAAAATTCAAGCTGTTAGATTTTCCACAGCAAACAAAGCTACGTCATGATTGTAATTAATATCAAGAAACCTATGCATCTGATTTTTAATCAAATCTGCCAAGAGCACCAAAAGTGGCCAAAAGATCTCTCTCCTGTGCTCTAAAAACAATGTACCTTGTAAAATTAAGATGAGAACAGATATGCAAACCAGTGCGTGATCATAATTTAACAGAGTAATTTCAAAAAAGGATCTTCCAAAGGACTAATGCATTAATTATGAATTACACAGAAAGTTAATAAACCATGTAATGTTGATTGTTACATAGCACCACACTGACAGTCACCTAAAATCCTGTATATCTACTCCTGTTCATTCAGTGGTAAGAAATAGAGTTTAACTCACAGCAGCTGCACAGAGAGGGTCCAGTGAAACCACCTGAACCGGTGAGTCTCCTTTCAGTGTGAAACCCAGGTCTCTGTCGTCTGAGCGAATCCGTATTGTCCGTGGGGCAGTCCACCGCTGCTTGGCCGAGAAGACTGACTGCGGGCCCTGTGCGGAGACAGAATGTGGATGCTGGGATTAATAAGGCTACAGGTATTCTTGACTTAAGAAGATAATATCCTGTTGAGTTTGATTTCAGTGAATGCTGCGGGGGAAACTGAAAATCCAATATAATGTCTTGGCTTGAGCCCTTAATACTCACATATTTGAGCAATATTACTGTAGCAGTAAATGGCAGGTAAAGGGCCAGAACGGTGGCTACAGTCTTGTGTATTACCACTTCAATTCAGAGGAGCTGGAAGTCATATGACTGAAGAATTAATGGTACCTTTCACACAACTGAAATTTTTTTAGCAAGGATGTCATTTTTCTGTATGATTAGGCAAAAAGGCAGTGAATCCTTTGAACAAACTGACACTCATGGAAAACCTTCTCAAAATGCTGTAGGTGTTTTGCATCTATCCTTGAAAGTTGATATTTCCAATAATACTTTCCATTTAGGCTGCCCGTCTCTAACACACTTGTTATCTGCTGGGAAAATCTCTCCTCCATTGAATCCTGACACTCAGTTGTACCTAGTACCAAGACGACTCTTATCGCACTGGCTTTAGTAATCACCAGAGTGATTGTTCAGCGAGATGGTGCCAGATTAAGCTTTTCAGTCCCACATTCCTCTTCATATCTCTGGGAATATGTTCTTGCTGCTGTGACTGCTTTTGTAACTGGCACCAGACAGGTACTTATTCACCTACTACTGGAAATGTCAGCTGTGACCCAGGCCCCCCTTATGAATGATTTCAGCTTTTTTAAACATCCCTTTCAAACAAAGTGAACAGAAGATTCCAGGGTTAGAGAGAGAACATTTGTTAGTCACCCATCCCCCCCTACCTCTCACCACCACCATTCATGAAAGGTACAGGAACATTACTCAATGCATTTAGCATGAAAGACTCCAAACTTGGAATGCGAAAAGTTTGGGAGTTACAGGAAAATGAAGTCAACCTTCAATCTCAAGGTAAATTCACCAACTTCAGTAGAGATTTTTCCTTCAACAGAAGCAGTGAACTGTAAAAAGTTCTATTTTCTCATCTCCCTTTAAAATACCACATTAACCATGAGCAGACTTAAAGCAAGGACCAGCACCTTTGTCCATGTTTAGTGTTAGTTTTGCATGAGTCCAGAAAGGTTTGAACACATCAGAGGAGTTTTCATGTGCCAAAGCTTCCAGAAGACTCATCCTTGGTTGGGTGTATTCAGAAACAACAAAAAATACACTCTGGGTGTTAAAATAAAATAAATAAATGAAACTTTTTAGGACAAAACACAAATCCAGAGGCATTTAATGTCCTTTAATGAATAGACCAGACCAACAACCATGTATGAAATGTGCGAGTAAATCGTTAGTAACCCACGTACCAGCCTCTGGAAAAAGTCGATGACTTTCACCTTTGCAGCTGCGGGAAATTCCATCTCTGCTTTGTGTTCTGTTTTAGCTATAAAAAGAGAGTAACAAAAATAAATTTATCACTCTATAATGTTTACCGTCACAACCACATTTCAACTGTTAAGAGAGATGGACAGGGAGTTGGCAGTATAAACATTACATCATCTCTACTTGGAAATAAATGCCACTTATCAAAGCTAACTGCAGCAGGTGTGGCAGACAATGCAGCTCCCTTTTTATGAGCCGTTTCCTGAGAGACGGTCCTCCCAAATCCACACAGTGTTTTTGCTTCGCTTTAGTGCCTTTTGTTAGTGTTAAGTGTTAGCTGTGGTGACACTAAGGTGACTGTTCGGTTTCTGTGATTACCAGAGGATGAATAGCTTTCACCTCAGTGACATTTATTGGAGACTCAAATGAACTTTAAAATCATTGACAAACTTATGTTTCCTTGCATATATTTTAACTCTTATTATTATAAATTATTTAAAAACTAAACAAAAACAACTCACAGATGATTTTTGGGGCCTCCGAATAATCAGTGAACTCTTCTTCATTTTCATTTTCACTGTGCTTGTTGACTGAGCGCTGGTGACTGGCTTTTAAAATTTCCTGCAGGACCTCCAAGTTGTTGGTATTCTTACACAATCCATAAATCCTCAAAGCCTCCTCATGACCGAAGATGGCACGACGGATGTGAGCTTTACCTGCAGAGAAGGAGAAAAATTCATCAAGAAAAGTGAAGAAGACAATAAAAAGGAAAGGAGGGACTGAGATGAATAGGCAGAGCTATTTTGTTTCGCTTTGTGCTTATTTTACCAATCCGCTGACGTTCATCTTTGTTCTTTAAGATGTCCAGAGCAGTGCATCCCTCAGGAAGGCTATCATACACCTGTGACAAGGTCTTCTCCTGCTTGTCCTCATCATCGCCCGGACCCACTGAACACACAGAGAGCAAAAGAAAAGAAAAAAAAAAAATTAAGCAACTGGAAAACTGTTTTATATGAATGAATGTTTTAAAAGAATTTTTAAAATGCAATCTTTGTTCATATATTCCATCATTCAATCTTCCTTTTCTGGTTCACTGGATTTTAAAGTTTTAATTAAATCTATTAAACCAAAAGCATCCGGAAATATCTTTTAGCTTCCTGAGTTTTCTGCTTAGCAGAGACAGTATAGAGAATTTATTTGGAATAGTTTGTGATTAATCTGTTTACTACAGCAATCTCAATTCAGCCCTGCTCTGTAGTCAAGGCCTCTCTACAGTCCAGTGGTTAATTGCTCTATTCTCCGTGTTCACACAGGAATCTGTTAATGAGCTGCCAAACCCAAAGCTGCTTCGTTTCGTTGTTTCCTTTATTCAGTCTCGTCCCACTCTCAGAACCATAGCCACCCACTCTGCTCGATTTTGTTTTTGATTTATTCATTTCCAAATGTACATGTAAAGTACAAAAGGAAAAGAATAAAAACATACAGCGAAACAGTGCACATCAGTAGAAAATTGCATTATGGAGTTGACATAAAGCTGGAGATAAGAAAATCACCTTTCCCTCACACTCTCTCACTTGGTCCCATCTATTTATGTAAAGAGCAGTAAGAGTCTACATAACTGTTAATCCTGCAGAAGTATACAGCACTTACACTTAGTTGGGGTTTTTTTTGTTTGTTTTTTTTATTTTTAAATCACCTCAGCTGTCTTTCTTTCCCTTCTCATCATGACCTCTTTTGCTGTCTTTTTTGGGACTCTTTACAATCGTGTGTATCTCTGTGCATGTGCATGTATGTGTGTGTGTTTGCATGCATGGATCTCTTTGTGTGTCAGACAATTTGTGAGTATCCCCAAAGAGGCATTATATAAAAGCATCCAAGATGGCTGTGGTACAGGGACGTAATCTGACATGACCAACCCAATGGCCCATACAGCACTTTAAGAGATCAGATATTCCAGAGAGCTCAAGAGGCAGCCCAAATCCTGTTACATCCAGCCTTGAACTGCTGTACACATTAACAACCAAGAGCCAAATATCTACTACACACAACCCGCATGAAAACTTACTAAAGGAGAAATGTATTAACAGTCTTTTAACATAAACAGTTTTTTCAGGTAAAGAATACATTTGTGTTGTCTAATCAGAACAACACAACAGCATTTTTTTTATATGTATCTATGAAGAAATAAAAACTTCCTCCCAAATCCCACTGAATCAAAAAATTGAATCTCTTCTTACACTGGTGGTCCAGCAGTGCTGAAGCTACAAAGTAGTGTGCCATGGAGCGGTAGTGGTTGGTTTTAATTTGTGACATGGTGGACCAGAAAAATGGCACATTGTCTTTTACTGGTGTCTGGATCATGCACTGATGGACTTGATCGTAGATTTCTGAGACCTGGCAGGAAGAGGATGATAGAGTTACATTTAAAAGTGCATTAAAAGCACCAAGACAGGTACAAAAAATAAAAAGAACTGTGGCGACATTATCACTTTACATTCACTTTAAGTACAGTAGATCTTTGTAAGTCTGGAGCAAGAACAAGAGTATTACTTGTATATAATGTGAGGACTATGTGTGGCTTTTCTGAAGTTTACCTTTGCAGCCTCTTGTGCAACTTTCATCAGAGAGTAAAACTGGTTTCGGATGCCAGGCAGTGCAATCTTCTCAAACAAGCACTCTTGAGCCTGAGCAAGCATCAGCCGAATCAGCATACTGAGCATGGCTGGACTCATGTCGTAGCTGGGAGTGTGGGTGAAAGTCTCCTTAAGGTTATTCAAGACACCTGGACAGGAAAGAGCAGTCGGCACAAGTTGAAATCTAATTAGTCTAAGGAAACTACAATTAGTGCTAGTTATTTAAATCATCAGAGACTTAACTGAGAAAAGAAGAAGAAGAAAGAAAAAAAAACAAAACTAAATTACTCCTACACTACATGGAAAATTTCCAGTTTTGGGTTCTATTTTGAAGCCTGCAGGGAGAAAGCCTGCTTTCTCTTTTCCAGCCTCAAGTCTGGGTCAGCTACATAACAAAAGCCACTTTCATGTAATCTAAGTCGTCATGTAATTCCAAGGCTATAATGGTAATTTCAGAATAGAACCTCTCGTTTGGGATTTGGTTGACATGAGCTATATCTGGAACATGAGTATTTATGTATCATGGCTAGCCCACATTTGACTTCTACTGTCAAAAATTTACTGTCAAAGTTTGATATTATAGTTAATAGATATGGCGGATGCCCAATCTCTCTCTCTTTTTTATCAATTACTTAATTAAAAGAAAGCATATATTTTGCTAGTCCACAAAACAACAGATGTGGTTCTGCTGGTACTTTAACCCCAAGTACTGACACCCTTTTAGACAGATGTTTTAAAAGGTGCACAGGTAGACCAGTGCCTTTTTGCTGTTAATATTATTTCAGCAAGATTAACTATATCTGTGTCTGTCTGTTAAACACTGAGCAAAGAAATAAACATTAAATTAATTCAATTTAGTTTTATTTATATAGCGCCAAATCACAACAACAGTTGCCTCAAGGTGCTTTATACTGTACAGTAGATCGTACAATAATAGATACAAGTTACTTTGGAAGAAATAAGGCCATGTCCACTCCAGCTAAGAATTTATGCCTACTGTTTGCCAGATAAAAACCTGGCAACAGTGAGTTGCAGACAGCTTAATAACAGAGCAATGCCTCAGTACAATTCGCATAAAGACTTGGCAACTCCTACAGTAGCTGGCTTCTCTCATTCACATCACCTTTTGCATCCTTGGCTAAAGAGCCCTGCAGCAGTTGCGCTACACCTAGCATTCCTGCCTGTAAACTCCCAGCTTGGATTACTACAGGTTCTTGGTCACAATGTTCTTCATAATAACATAATTATTTTCCTTCACACAAGCCTAAATTAAAGCCATCAAAGCAACATAGTTGAAGCAATATCCAGAGCTATAATTATAGAGCAATACTGCCCACACTGCAAAGTCATAAATCTATCACGAAACATTCTGAAACCTTTGAGGGTTGGACAGTCTCTTCATGTTTTTGGTGCTTCCTGGAGCTCAGCCACATGACAAGAAACATCTACATTCATTCTCCGTCACGGAACAGAAGTCAGGGTGGAAGCTGGCCAATATTCTAAAAACAAAAATGTACTGCAGTGGTAATACTTTTCTGAGAACTGTGTTATCAGAGAAGCACTGCACGAGGGTGAAAAAAAAAAGTCTTTAGCTTTGAATGAAACCCTGTGCCTGGCGCTTTTTCAGCAGTTAAAAGAAGTTCTTGCTGTCACTATTTATTTTTTCATCTTGGCTTTCTTTTCTTTTCTTTTTTTTTTTATATCTGCTCCTTTTACTCAAAGATTCAGCTTTCGGTAGCAGTGTTTCAGACTATAGAGGAACAAAGATAAACATAACTTTAAGAAACAAAAGTCTGACTGTTGGCCTTAACACAGGCTGAAAAGAGAGAATTAATATGACTGCAGATCATCAGTTCATCACGTCTCTGCATACCTGCAGCTTTCTGGAAGGAAGAAACAGCCTCCTCCAGGCCAGTTAGTGTCTGTCGATTAGCACGGGTACCGAGCTGAGAGTAGAGGGCGGCCATGTTGAAAAGGATACTGGCCTTCTCTAGTGACAGGTTTTGTTGACATAGTGGCACTCCTGTGAAGGAGTCATACCTAAAGGAAAGTAAACACAACATTAATGTGTTAAAAAAAAAAAACTCATGAAGATAAACAGTCCAAAGAATATGAAGTGAAAAATATTTTTAGCAGCAATATAACAGCCTTTCTGTCACACTTTGTGTGTTGTTACATTTTAATGTAACAGCATGTATATCATATTCTTGTCTATATCACTTGTTTGAAATGCTTCAAATTTGCTTCACAGCTAAAGCTCTTTAAAGTCTTTGAGCTCTTTATCTGTGCATTTATCTTTGCTAGAATTTTCAATTTAATTCAGTAGCAATGACTAACATAAGTAGCATGACTAACACGCAATAAAACCTCTCTGAAAAGAATGCTTGCACTTCATTGAGACTCCTTTGTGACTCTTGAGTGTGGAATTCTTATAAAATCCAAGACAGGATTTGTCATCTGATATCACTGATAAGTTAATATGTCTCTCAAGCCGTCTACTGTTTTGCTTTCTAAACAGGATTTCTCTTCCAGGCTTGATACATGACGAAAAAGCAGCAGGAGGGGGGAAAAAAACCCAAAAACTGCTGTCAAATGTTTCCTTTTTATTTATTTCATAAGGAAGTTTCCAGTCGAGCCACACCAGCTGACATGGTTTCAGGAAAGCACAGGTGTTCATGGCACCTCTTTGCTTACTTTGAAGTCACTGGATATAGTCTCACCTGTTTCTTTTCTGTCAGAGGTTAGAAAGACAAGGTGACATTTGCACTGCTTGCTTTGTCCGTTTTGCTAATTAGGAAATGACTGCAGTGTACCATGTGAAGAAGATGCCCGTCTGTCTGGTTGGGGAGAAGAATCGGCTCTCTATCAGAGGAAGATGGCTGTAGTATTTTGCAAGCAGCTCCACCCCGGCCTCACTTCGACTTGGTGTTCTGCATGCCTAGGATATGTAAGACAAAAGCACATGTTCACAAGTGGTGAACGAACACAAAAGACCATCTGTTTTCTGTGCTACTCGATCATTATCATCTCCAGTGTATTTGGTAGGTGGCAGAAATGTCAAGAATGATCTCTCACTCTACCTGTAAACTAAAATGAAGTGAACTCCGCAGCTAACTGCACAGGAAATATGTTTTTGTAGTTGACCCAGCCCATAAAAGTTCAAGTCAAAGGATTTCATGGTTTTTTCCGTGACAGACATGAATAATGGGTATATTAAACACACCTGTCGCAGGTCCATGAAGTCAGCAATCTCATCTTCAAAAGTCTTCCCGTCTTCACTATAGTGCTCCAAGATAAAGTCCTATAAAAGACAGAAAGACAAAAAATAAATAAATCAGCATGTAAATACAAGTTCTTTTTAGCATTTAGGAGCTTAAGTTAAGCATTCAGTTGTGTATGCTGGAGAGAATTTCTTTTCTCTCTGAGCTAGCCACATGTAGGAGAGGCTCCATCAAATTTAAAGCCATATTGTGAATACTCCCATTAAGGAGGATTAACTGGAAAATGTTTATATGGATGAATAACCTTTATCTTTACTGGAATACACCCTTTACTGTCAGGAGAACTTAGGTTTCTTAGAATTTATTCATGAGAGCAACTCTTTGTACTTGGAAGCTTTTTGAATAAGGCCGCAGGTCATGAAAACTGAGGCACGATTTCAGTCAAGAAGTAGAGCAGAATTAACGTGCTCGGAGATCTTTGTCAGAAAACGTCTCACATGCCCGTCAACAATCCGAAACAGGATGCGACACAACATAAACGTGCCAACTATGACATTTACAAGCGGGCTTACCCCGTTTACGAGAGTTCAACTTGTCTTTATAACTAGTGACCCACTTTTAGCTTTTTCCTGATCAGGTGATGTCCTGGTCCTAAATGAACATTCAGTGACATGACATAGTAATGTAACATGGCTGCAGTCATACATGCGACAGACAATATGACTGAAATACGTAATTCAAGGATACTTAGTTTCAAGGATATATATGTAAACATGCAAACTGAAAATACTGCCTACAAATATCAATCAGTTTTATTATTATTATTAGTATTAGTAGTAGTAGTAGTAGTAGTAGTAGCTGTAGCTGTAGCTCCATACCTATATTCCTGTTTTGACAGAAATTATAATACAATTTTGTTTAACTGATGATCAAAACTGGTGTTTTGCATGTACCCAACTATGCATTTCTGAAAGCACAACACAGTTTAAGAATGCCAAGTCGAAACTTTTGAGGTTTCTTTTGTACCTTGAATGGAGTAGAGAAGTCAACTTCTTTTGTTTCCTTCAGGCCCAAAGCAATGAGGGGAATGTTGGCAGAATCTCTGAAGGCAACAAAGAGAAATATGTAGCTGATCTGTGTAATCCATATGATATAAATTCACAACAAAGCAAACACATGATAGCAGGACAGCAGGACCTTTCATTTTTAAAAAAAAGGGACAAAATATTCAATACAAGTAAGGACAAATAGAAAATATACCAGTGCAACAGATTGATGGTTAAAAAGACGTCTCTATGGTTTGTGTGAATATATATATATCCAGGAAACACCCTTTGAAAGCACACCAAGCCTTAGTGGGTATATGAGGTCAACACAGTTAGATTAGTAAATATTAAATCACACTAGTCCCATTAGTGACAGCTTTGTTGTTGAGAAAGTTTAGTTTCATAGGAGGTACTGTACAAAAGGATTAGGCAGATGGTGTTGTGAGAAATCTGTTAGGATTTAAAGGTGAATGAGGCCTCCCATGTCCCTCACTGTTGATTAATTATTCAGGAGTTGCAGCTTTGCTTCAGTCTGTCTTTCTTCTAGCTACTAGCAGGTTTTAACCTCCGATTATTGCAGCCTGGCAAATAGTAAACAGAGGCTGCCATAAAACACACTGTTTTGATGTCAGCTACAACCTTAATGGTTTGGAAATTTTCTGGTTTTATGGGGGTCCTTGTTAGTGACAGATGGAAAGCAAGTTCAGCTTGTTATCAGCGCTGAGGGACTATAACC